GCACTACCTTAAAGTTTCCTCTTAGAAACACATGGCTGATTGCTATCTGGCCGGCAGTTTCATCTATAGCAGCAGACATGCTACAATTGCTCTCCCTGCTTGGGGGACAGTCACTCCCCCTTTCCTGCCCCCAGCACTGGTGTTAGGTTACTCCCTCAATGAACTCAGGGACCTCTAGGGTTAAGGGACTGCCCACTTTGTTACCTATGTGGTTACCTGTAATGGGGGGGCAGGGCATTTGCAAGCCTGAAATTATATAAATTGATGTAAGAACACATTTTCTCTCTCTCCCACACCTGGTTCCTGATACCATGGAGGTGAGCACCCCAAAATGTTTGTATGTCTCTTAATTTCTTCCCTTCAATTACACAACTGTCCCCTAGGTCCCATCTGGATGTGGGGCTGGATCCCACAATATATGATACCAGAACCAAACCCCAAACCAATCTCTCTGCCATGGAGTTGGTGCTGACCCATAGCGACCCTATAGGGCAGGGTAGAACTATCCCTGTGAGTTTCCAAGACTGTACCTCTTTAAGGGAGTAGAAAGTCTCGTCTTTCTCTTTTGGAGTGCCAGGTGATTTTGAACTGCTGGCTTTGTAGTTAGCAGCCCAACTCATAACCATTACACCTCCAGGGCTCCTTGACACTGGAAAGATAAACCATACTGTTTTATTTTTAAAATGGTAACTTATTAAAGAATCAATGTGTTTGAATTGTGCTGCTAGAGAAGCATATTGATAGTGCCACAGACTGCCTAAAGGACAAGCAAATCTGTTCTGAAAGAGGTGTAGCCAGTGAACTCCTTAGAGACAAGGATGGCAAAACATTGTCTCTTACATGCTTTGAACACACAGTCAGGAGGGGCCAGTTCCTGGAGAAGGAGATCATGCTTGGTAAAGTGGAGGGGCAGAGGAAAAGAGAGAGGTCCTGGAGGCGATAGATCGACACAGTGGCTGCCACCTGGGCTCAGGCACAGGAACAATGGCGAGGAGGCCACGCAGTGTCTCGTTCTATTGTAAGAAGTTCACTGTGGGTCGAAACTGACCTGATAGTACCTAACCTGAAGGAAAGAGGAGGATGGAAGGGACAAAGATAAAGGCTAGACTTCTAAAGCTTCTACCTTGCACTTCAGATTTGACTTCGCAATCATAGCAGTGTTTTATGTAGTTAGAAAACAAAACTTTTTTTTTAAGTCGAAGAAATCTGTTATTGTAGCCAATCTATTATTGTAGCCAATCTATTATTGTAGCCAATCTGTTATTGTAGCCAATCTGTTATTGCAGGTGCATCGATCTTGATGAGTGTCTTCCTGGGTTTTGATGACCCTCTACCAAGCCTGAGTCCTTCAGGGACTGGTCCTTCCTGACAACATGTCCAAAGAATGTGACACGGAGCCGGCCACAGTTTAGGACCTCTCTCTTGTACTTCTTCCAAGACAGATGTGTTCATTTTTTGTTTTAATCAGTTGATAGACGTGTTCACGAACAACATATCAACCTGTGTGATCACGGGGTGTCGAACGGATCACTGAAGACAAATGGGTGCATAAGCAAATGTGGTGAAGAAAGCTGATG